TTTTCTCCCTATAGTTATTTGGGAAGTTAAAATGTAATCAGCATTTGCGTGTGTGTGTGTGTGTGTGTGTGTGTGTGTGTGTGTTTTCATGCATGCATTGAACTCACGAGGCTTAATCACTGAGCCCAATCCCCAGCCCATTTTTAAATTGCTTAGGGCTTCACCAAGTTGCTGAGACTGGCTTTGAACTTTCGATCCTCCTGCCTCAGCCTCCCACGCCATTGGGATTACAGGTGTGTACCACCACGCCTGGCTAGCATGCACATTTTTTATTTACCATGTGAATCACAGTTCTAGGAACTGACTTGCTGCCTTCAATATATCAGTGTTTTCATATCGTATAGCTAGAGCTATCTGCGAGACAGAATGATACTTCATGCAGGATCCTAGAACAAGAGAAGCTGAGGAAGTAATAAACTAATAACACTAAGTGAAAAGTGTTTATTCTATTTGTCTCAACGGAAATATACAAATCCCATTGGAGAGCTCTCATGAATAGTGCTGGGATGAGTATCACCAGCTTTGCTTCTGTGACTCTTCTTCCTCTTCCCAATTTGACACATTTTCTTTTTTTAATATTTATTTTTTAGTTGTAGTTGGACACAATATCACTTATTTATTTTTATGTGGTGCTGAGGATTGAACCCAGGGTCCCACACATGTGAGGTGAGCACTCTACCGCTGAGCCACAACCTCAGCCCCACCCCCAACACATTCTTTTGAACCAGCCACTCTGGAGCCTTGCTGTGTGAAAACTGAAATGTGCACACTTGAACTCTATCACAATGAGTTGCTTTTGCAGCTCATCATTGTCATTTAACTTATCCCCAGCTGCTGGTAGGCACCTAAACATGGTCCTTAATTATTTACCATATAAAGCTCCCCACATTCCTTTTATTTCCTACTTTGTAAATGAGTTTTTTAGCCTGAGGATTATAATAATCTTTATGAACTTTTATCTTATCAAGTCTTTTGACAGAATATCTTGGTGTGATTGTGAACAAGAAGGATGAACATGGGTCAGTGGGTCAAACCCTTTTTCAAAGGGACCTCCACTTAAATAGTGTCTGAGGGTTTTTTGTACCAAACATAGATGACCACTCCTGGAAGATTGGACCCAAGTTCTGGGGTGGAGATGATCCTGTCTGGCATCCCTTCATCTCCACTCCTCAGTGGACAGTCAATCCCACACCTAAATAGGACATGTGCCTGCCTTTTCCTTAGCCTGTCATAGTGGAGCTGATGGTGCAGGACTGAAACAACCAAGAAGGAATGGGGTGCTGTGGCACACACCTATAATCCCAGCAACTCCTGAGGATGAAGCAGGAGGAGCTCAAGTTTGAGGCCAGTCTTAATAACTGTCTCAAAGATAAAAAAGGGACTGGGGATGTAGCTCAGTGGTAAAGTTGCCCTGGGTTCAATTCCAGTACCAATGAAATGAAGAAGAAAGAACCCAAAAGAAGGAAGCTTGCTATCATTGCTAGAGGCCACAGTGAAAGCCAGAAGGTCCAGCTTCCCATGAGTTGGACCACACCTGAACCTTCCTCTCATGAAGTAGCTATGCCTGCCAACTTGAGAAGAGAATGCATGATACCAAAGCTGTGCTTTCACTGCTCTGCTGCCTGTGTTCTCCAGGAAGCTCACTCAGTCCAGTTGAGAGAATGTGCCCTGCTGTATTCACGCCCTGGAGACTAGAGGCAAAGCCCCAGGCTGAGACAAAGTTTTTACAGAGAACTTTATATCAAAGACCACTTCCCAGAGCCACCCACACACAGGCATCATGTGGCATTATGCCAGTAGAGAGAGTCAGGCACAGCATGTACCTGAGCTGTGCCCAGAGAGGATGTTCAGTACACAGAGCCCTTCATGATAAGCTCCGAGTCCTGTCTGCCTTCTCTGCTGATTATAGCAGCACTTAAGATGTTGGAATGCTAGAAATGGCCTCTGTACCTCTTGGCATGGGAACCATTAGCTCTGTACATTAGTCTCACCCAATCCTAGTTCACTTGGGGATTTATGGACACTGTTTTTCACTGTGTAGGTTTTCCTTTCTACTCTAGCATCTTTACTATGGATGCAACCCTGATGTGAAAGGTTGAGAAGTTCCCGTTTCACTGACTATGAACTTACTGTCCTCCCAGGAACTGAACCCTCATGGTAGAGGACCTCTCTGAGGGTGTCCAGGCCACCTAGCACTGGGAGTGCACTTGGGCACTAGAAGATCTCTTTTCCTGTGGCTGCAGGTGTGACTTTAATATTGTCTTTCTTCTTATACTTTGTCCTACTAGGCTCAGCAAAGTAGGAACCAGATCTCCCTCCTTTCCTAATGGGTAAGTTCCCTTAGAGGAAAGATGCCACACCAGTTTGTCATCTGGTGAGGGTTTTGATGGCTTCCTTTATAAGTCTGTCCTCAGCACTAACTGGATTACATTTCCAGTGAGCTCTGAATGGAAGCTGGGAGAGTTTTCTGAGAAAAAGAACACTGCACCGCAGCTGAGAGAACTTGCCACTCATTCCACGGCTTCTTATCTTATTCCATGGTTGGTTAGAAAGCAAGAGTCAGACCCCCAAACTGGTGCAGTTTTCAATGAGTGGCTTTTAAAAACTGATTTGAGGGTCTTGGCATGGGCACTACTGTTGACTATCTGCTTGTTTCAAAGGTTGGCATCTGATGTCTTTGGAGTGGTTTTTGCTTCTTCTATCCAAATGCCAACCTTCTGTCCCTGAGATCCTCGTGGGCAGTTCTCCTATGATTAGAGTTCTCCCATGATTACAATCCAAAGAGGTTCTGTGCTTCTTATAGACATCCTTAGTCCTTAATGATTGCCATGTTAGTTTCATATGGCCCCTAATTTCAATAGCAAAAGGTTACCTCACACTAGGCAGGATTCTTGTGCCTCTGACAAAGTGTGCAACTACGGTACAGCATTCTGGAGATGTTTCATGTCAGTCTTTTCTTTTTTCTTTATTTGGGCAATGCTGGAGTATGACAATCTTAATCTTGCTGGTCCTGCCACAGAACTGCTGGTCTAGGGAGTACTTAGAACTTCAGCCTTCTCTGGAGGCCTCCTAGGGCCATGCCCATTCTGTGGGTAGTGTTGTCGGTAGGTACACAGACTGTGCCACCAGTCTGGTCCTGCACTGTCACTCCATGGCTCAGAGCCCACACTCTTCTGGTACTGGGACTTGTACTAATTTTATAGAATAAAAGTCCTGCTGGATAGAACATTTGGCTTTTCTCATTTTCTTGGAGATATATTCCAAAGTATATTATGTACATTAAAGTGTTGGAGTTCCTAAATAAAATGGATAAATTCATAGAAAAATATAAAATACTAAATACTCTTAAGAAGAAATAAGGAACTTAAATCAATTAGAAACTAGAAAAATGGAAGCTAAAATCTCTTCCCCTACTTGCCAAAGAAAAAAAACCCAGGCCCAGTGGTTTTGCAGGTAAGTTTTACCAAACTTTCAAAGAATAGATGATTCCTATATTTTGTAAAAAGTTCTCCTAGAAAATGAAAAAAAGAACAAGAGCTACTCGGCTCATTGTATTGAAGTTAATGTAATCTTGACTCCAAAACTAAATAAGTATAAATAAAATTATAATCTTATTTCCTTTATGAAATAGTTGCAAAAAATCCTAAACAACATATTAACTAATGAATTATCAGTGTATTTTTAAAGTGAATTACAATTGGGTGGGACTTGTAACAGGAATTCAAGCAAGAATTATCATGAAAAAATCTAATAATATAACATATGAATAGGGGAAATAATTATTGTCTCAATACAGAAAAATCCTTTGATAAATTTAGACGCCTATTTGTAATTTTAAAAAATATATTGACAAACAAGGAGTATACTTCCTTAAGCTGGTTATATACCAAAAACCTACAATAAAGATTCTGCTTAATGGAGAAATTGTTGATACATTCCACTTAAGATTGGGTGGAGAAAAAACCACTGCCTAGGGGCCTAGGGTTGTGGCTCAGTGGTAGAGCACTTGCCTAGCACGCATGAGGCACTGGGTTCTGGGTTTGATCCTCAGCACCACATAAAAAAATAAAATAAATAAATAAAGATATTGTGTCCACCTACAACTAAAAAATAAATATTAAAAAAAAACACTGCCTACCATCACTATCTCTGGTTAACAGTACTGGAAGCACTGGTCAATGCTCTAAAGAAAGAAAAAGAAACTAGAAGCATAAATTCTAGAAAGGGGGAGATAAATGGTCATTATTTTATCTACTTGGAAAAACCAACGGAGTCAACAGAACATTAAGACGAAAAAGAAAGTTCAGCAAAGTTGCTAGATTCAAGATAAATGTTAAAAAATTTAATAGCATTTCTCCATAGCAGCCATAATCAACTAAAAATATAAAGAATAAGATAGCATTTATACTAGCAACAAAAGCTGTGGGCAATTTTTTGGTTTACTTAAGAATACACAGATGTTCATGGAGTAAATTATGAAACTAAGAGGATGGAAATAAAGGAAGAGAACAAGGAGGAAGCTACAGGGCCCTTCATAACCTCGTTTTGGCTGTTCCACTGGTGCTGTGCTGGTTCTGTTTGTTGGCAGCAATTCCTGTGTCTGGCCCTAGCTTAGGCAGGAGGGATTAGACTCTGCAGGTAGAAGAGGAGACTTTGCACACATATTTTCAAACACCACTCCTCCTAACAAAAGAATGTACATCAAACACTGGAAAGGCTGCATATGACAGGGGAGAATAATGAGAATGCAATAGAAGGGAATGGAAGAAAGGGCGAGAGGGAGGAAGGCTGACTTTTGTATACCAAAGACAACAGTGTGCCATGAATTGATGTAGATGTTTAATTTTCTGCCCTGGAATGAAAAAAAAAATGGCATTCATCTTTTCAGTCTCCTTACTAAACATTTACATAGCACATAACCTTAACACACATCTTTTGGTTTTTGGTGTTTTATTTTATTATAAGTTATTTATATGCAGTGCTGAGAATCGAACCCAGTGCCTTGCACATGCCTATAACCCCAGTCCCCAGGCTGGGATCTTATTATACATATTGATCTACTATTAGGTTTTCTCGTTTAACATTGTATCCTGAGAGTTCTTTCATGTCACTGTAAATACAGAGGTTTGTCTGATTTGTTTTACACATTATTCCATAGTGTGGATACACCAGGAATATAATTGATCAATTTCCTACTGATGGACATTCAGGTTAGTTTTACTTATCTTTCTTTTTTCCTTTCTCTCTGTTGGCTGGATGGGTCTTTCACTATATGAGCATCCAAATTTGTACTTTACTTATATTGTCTCCCCTGGACTTCAAGACTAAGGGACCAGGAACATGCAAGATGGATTCTGCTGTAGGCAGAGTTTGTTACTTGAGGACAGGCAGGGCCACTGTGGCAGATTTTCTATGCTTCAGCTTCCTTCCTCCTACTTAGCCATATAAAGGATGCAACTCTACCAGGGTCCTAGTCTTTGCCTTCCAAGGCCTTCTTGTTTAGCAAAAGGCAGACGTGTGAGTGACCCATGGGAGGCAGAACAGCATACAGGGAGGGGAAGCCTCTTGTCTCACTAACTGTGCCCGTTTTTCATCCTAGCCCACCACTCACTGGATTTGACACTGGGCAAGTTATTTCACCTCCCCAAAATCTTAGTTTCCCTACATCTAAAATGACTATTTTTTTTCTCATAGGGCTACTCTGATAAACAACAGGATTCATATAATGTTCCTGGCACATAGTGATCTGTGAACATTGAGTTTTCAGGAAACTAGCCAATCAGGTGGGGACACAGGTTCTCTGAGGTTTTAAGTCTTCATAAATGAAGAGCAGAGCCCTGAAGAATGGGCAGCATTCCCCTGGCAGAGCTGGAGGAAAGCATTTTAGTGCACAGAAAGGTAGAAGTGAAAGTCCTGAGTTGGAAAAGGGAGGCGTGTTTGGGGGTGGGGAGTAGTGTCCTGTGGCTGGCTGGAGGGTCACATTCATTAACCAGAGGAGGAAAGGCCTTTCTAGGATGTATGCAGGTGGTCTTCTGGCACAGAGGACAGAAATCCAGGACACCTCCAGGGACTTGTGCCTCAAAGCTGAAGCTGCAGATCCACCACAAGACCACCGTTGGGGTCAGCCATGACCCCAACCTCATCTCTTCCCTCATCCTCCTGCCTTCTTCAGTATGGGCCTCCTCCCAGGCTTGGCCACTCCCAGCATTCAGCACCCCCCACCCCTCAGCAGGGTTGGGAGGCAGGCGGAGGATTTTCGCGGGGGCTGTGCTGGGTGGGCAGTTTTCCCAGAGCAAGGAGCGAAGCTGGACTGAGTTGGCGCCAGCTTCCTCAGATGTAGACATCGCTGGCTGAATGGCCAGCCTGCCCCAGCGAGCTTGAACCCAAGGACTCCCTCAGGCACTGTGTTCCTGCTCTGAGGGCTGCAGCCCTATACCTCAGGGGAGTGGCATGCCACAGAGGGAGGCCAGAGGGGCACCAGCAATGCCAGGATTGGGGCATGGCCGGGCTAAGGCCAAAGCACAGTTGCTGCCAGGCACTAACAGGAAGAGGAGCCGCCTTAGCAGGACAAGGCAGGACCTGTGGGAAGAGCCCAGCTGGAGTGACCAAAGATGGTGCAGATCTTCCCCTACCCCTCGAGGGGCCAGAGCTAGAAGCCCGGCTCGTGGCAGGGTAAGGAAATCCTGGTCCAATAGAGGGAGCCCCGGGGAGGCAGGGGTTGGAAGGCAATGAGCCTCACTCCGTGTTATTGTTCCTGCCCAAGAGTAAGGACATCAGCCCCTGAGACTCCTCAGAGCCCTGTGGGGTTGATTGGAATGAATCAGAGCTGGTCTTAACCAGAGCATAACTCAGAGAGTTCCCTTCACTTCTCTGAAGGAAACTGAGGCCTGGAGGAGGGATGTGAATTACCCAATGTCCCCAAACAGTAGTCAGCAGCAGAGATAGGACCTAGTTAGTTTGTTGTGACCCCTGGTTTGTCGCCCTTACCCCTTTACCACAGCAGCCTCTTCATCTCAAGACCTGGCTGGGTCAAGGGTCAGCCCTACTGAAAAGGGTGTGGCTCTGTGTTTCCCCTGGGCCCAAGGGCACCCCAATAAGCAGGATTCAAATTTGGGAATAATGGAGAGAACCCTGGACGCTTGGGTTCTGAGTCAAGCTTTGCCACCTGCTGCCATCTGACCCTAGCCCAGGCCTTCCCACAGCTATAAAACAGGGCGGGGCAGAGAACCACAAAGGTGGGCTGAGGTCTATCAGTTTTTGCTGTTCAGCACCCACTACTGCAGTAGGACACCCGACTTCTAGAATGCTTTTGAAGCCAGGGTCGATGGGGGTTCGGGCCAGACCTACTCACTGGGGCCCTCTGTGCAGAGTGAGGCCAGTCCTGAGAATGCAGCACGGGAGCGGAGCCGAGTAAGGACGCTGCGCCAGGCCTTCCTGGCCCTGCAGGCTGCTCTGCCTGCTGTGCCGCCTGACACCAAGCTCTCCAAGTTGGATGTGCTGGTGCTGGCCACCAGCTACATTGCTCATCTCACCCGCACTCTTGGCCATGAGCTGCCCAGTCCTGCCTGGCCACCCTTCCTGCGTGGACTCCGCCACTTGCACCCTCTCAAGGTATGTCATAGGCCCAGGGACATGGCTGGGGAGATCTCTGCCCAGGACCCTGAGGCAGGGTGGAGTAAAGGCGGGGGCACTGGATTGGGGCCCCTGCTGTGGGCAGAGCTGACATCAGGGTCAGTTTTTCCTGCTGTTGCAGAGGGAAAAGACTCAAGACTGGCTCTTGGGGTGGGACCAACCCTGTATTTCTCATGGGGTGGTAACTGGGAATGTGGTTCCTCCAAGAAGAAGGAAAGACTCTGGGGGTTCTTAGTGTCAAAGGGAAAAAGGAGCATATCCTAGGGCCGGGGCTTGGGGAAGCAAATGGCATCCAGGAAAGTCCTTGATCATCATGCGGCTTTACACCTTGCTTTACACACTGACCTCAGTGTCCTCTGAACTCCTGTTGCAGGAGAGAGCCACTCTTTGGGACAATCAAGTGGGGGGCAATAGTGCAGCATGCACTGTTTGCCATACTGTCACCTAGCTTTCCTGAACCTCAGCTTTATTCTATGTGAAATAGAAGCTAACAGGAGCTTGCCTTCTCCTCTTGAATACAAAATAAGTTTATGAATGATAAGTGCAATTAATGATAATCGCCATTGCCATGACAGACAACATGGCTGAAGTGCTAAAGCTATGCCAGGAGCTAGGCTAAGTGCTCTAGCATGCTCTTATCTCTTGACCTGTGCAAGAACAAAATGAAGACTACAGATGAGGAAGCAGAGGGAGGACAAGAGACTGGGTGTGGTTTGAGTCCAAGAGTGTCTAATTCCAGACACCTTGCTCACAGTCCCTGAGCAGGCCCCAGGATGGCACCGTAAGGAGCCGGTTGAGAAGCATACTTTGCCCTCTGAGGAAAACATCGTAAGGGGTCAACTTTATTTTTATGGAGGATACTTTCCACCCTCTCTCCCCTAAATATCATGGTCCTGAAATATCTTGAAACTTGAGGTCTTTCTTTCTTGCAAATCTAGCTAACATGCAAGATTCAGAAACAAAATGGTACAACTCCAAAATGCTAAAGGTGGTACCTGGTGCAGAGTTCTGAGATGAAAACAGGATCCTTCACTGTAAAATGGTGACCAAGTTAAGACTTTTGCATGTAGTAGATAAATATATTAAAGAATGAAGACCTGGTTAGGTCTAGAACTCTGGCAGATTGGTGAGGAAGGGAGGTGAGCCAGGGAGAAGCACCCTGTGTCCCTAGTGGGAAGGGCTGTTAGAGAGGAGGGGCTGAGTCAACATGGAGTTTTTTTAGGACTGCTTGCTCCTGCTGGAAGAAGTGAAAATGCCTGGAGGACCCCAGTTGAGAGGGAGTTCTTCCTGCCCACCAGAGGGGGCCCTTGATCTCCTCAGCCAGCTCCTCCTGTGTCTCTTGGCCAGACTCAGGGTATCTGGAAAATGTGTGGGATCCCTGGCATCAGAGCTGTGATGCCTAGGGGAAGGCATGAGGCAGGGGTGCTAGGGAAGGAGAAGCTTCAGGTGTTAAGGATTCTGGACAATGAAGGGCAGCAGAGTCACTCACCACCCATCCTGTGTCTTACAGAAGTGGCCCATGCGATCTCGTCTCTATGCTGGAGGTCTGGGATGCTCTGGCCTCGACTTCACCACAGCCATTGCCTCCTGCCAAAGAATGAGGGATGAAGAGATGGGGTCTCAAGTCTCTGGAGAGGCAGATGTTCTCCTTCTTACCAGGCCACCCTCACCAGCTCTTGGTGACAAATGACTACTATCACACTCATTCTGTTCTCCTAGACCATGCTTAGGAACCTGAGTTTTCTACCAGCACCTACCCATCTTCTCTCTAACTCTCAGCCATTGGATTTGACTCTGGCTCATCTTCCAAGGTCTAGTCTGCAGACCAAGTGAAGCAGCGGTGGAGAGTTCCCAGGAAGCACAGAATAGAGAGCCTCACCCTTGGCTCTTCTGTGGCAGCTACAAGGAAGTGGGTGAAGAATGGGTTTGACTTGGTTCAAAGTCAAGTGAGGCACCATCCCTCCTTTCTCTCCCCTAAGGCTCCTACAAATCCTCTGCACACAGGTAGAAGACAAAAATCATGGCGCAGGTGCAGAAGGAGGGGCCAGGATGGCAGCTGCCACAGGTGCTGATGGGAAAGCCAGGGGGCTTCATAGGTTCTTGGTAGCTTTAAGTGTGAAAAGACTTGGGCCCGTGTCACATAGCCAGAGGGAAAACAGAAGAAAGAAATATGCTTTTTTATATGGCACTGTGAGATGATTACCCAACGTCAAAGAGGCAGTGAGGAATTTAGGATTCTTGTCTCGGGATGCTGCGTCTCTCCAGCTGCCCCTCATCACTACATTTTCTCCCTCTCTGGGTTTTGCATCCTTCCACTGTTTCTGTTTTGACATGAGTTATATCTACAGGTTAAGACATAAAGCTTACATTGCTTACGTTCCAGTTTCTGGAGAAAGTTTTAGATAGTCTCAGCTGTTTAGTTTGAGAAGATCTTATCCCAGAGGCAACTCTGTCTTAATGGAACCAGGCAACCATTCAAGGCCCTGCCTATGCAGGATGCTGATATGCCCATTTAAATCCTCAAAGGACCTTAAAAAAAAGAATGTGCATCAACCCCCTTTCCAGGGGTCGATCCTTACAGTCTCCTCTTTCCATTATGTCAGAAACCTTACCTCAAAGGAAAACAAGACAGGTCCAGGGTCAGCGGGTTCCCAGTGCTGTTATTGTCTGAGGTTTCATTGACTCTGGAGTTATTTCTACAATCAGTCTGTAAATTAGCTCCCTAGGCCAGATTCTCCCACAGCCATCATCCCACCAGGCTGTCCCTAAGTCCTGTCTTGAGACGCCAGAAATGTGATAGCTCTGTAATGGAATTCATCACTGGTCCTGAAGAAATATTTTGAAGACTAATCACAGAGTCTACACACAGAGATGAACTTTCTAGGTCAGATGAAGCTTCAAAGCCAGCACCTGAAGTGCAGGCAGGGAAGGAACCAACTTTTTGATAAATTTCAGCATGTAGGCAGACTTAAGTCCCAACAGGGTATGGTTAGTTGCAAGCCATCACTGTCCTCATGAGTGTAAAGGTCTGGGGCAGCTGGGAAGAACTGGGGTCGGTCCTCCACAGAGCTGGCTGGGAGCAGGGACTAGCGGGCAGGAGTGACTCAGCAAGCTGGGGTGGAGGTAGGAAAGGAGACACAGTACGTCCCAGCCTGAGCCACATGGGATGTGGGAGCAGCTGGACTGTGGAGGGGAGCCATGGGAGGAGGCCTCAGCCAAGGCCGAACACATAAATCTGCCTGGAACCCTGTCTCTGCTGAGAATCCTGCAGAGCTTGTGCAGAGCTGCTTCTGGGCAGCTAGACGGGGCCAGGCAGGGGCAGAGACCAGGTGTGGGAGGGCGAGAGCAGTGTTCTTCACAAGACCATAAAAGTCCAGCTTGAGTGTTCTATTTTTAAAGCTGAATAGCAGCATCTTCCTGGTTGAGTTGGAGGGGGTAAGAAAGGTCTCCGATGAATTTCGTCCTGAAGAGTGGCACACAGTCTCTTTCTGGGCATGAAGAAACTGACTTTGGAGTTTTATTCTGGGGTTCCCTGAGACCCTGGAACTTCTAATAACTGAGTAGACTTTGATCTGGAGTTTTCCCTGCCCCACCTTGTTCGGACTCAAGCCTTTGCCTCATATTATCAGACTCTGGGTGACCATGTCACCCTGGTATAGAAGACAAAGAGGGCAAAGGGATGAACCTGGTGAGTCTGAAGAAGGGCAGGTTCCATCAGGACAGTTTCTAAGGCTGTCTCAAGCCCTTTCTAGGCAAAGTTGTTTTCCTTAGTGCCCAGGACAATCCTTTGTGGTCTGGGGGTCATCTTCCTCAGCTGGACAACCAACATAGTCAGGCCAGGGAGCCAAAGGAATGCTCAGAGGATGACTGGCCTTGCCCTCCTTGATGAGATGATGCTGGCCTTGAGGAATGTCAGGTTGCAGACCAGAATCCATGAACCACCCAGAACCAGGTGTAGCCCCTTTGCCTCTGCAGCAGAGCAGGTGGTGTTTATTCTAGGAGCTAGGGAGCATGGGTGGATGAAGCGCTAGAGGCAGCAGAGGCAGCTGAGATCCCCTAACAGCAAAAGTATGCAGGAAAGAAGCTGCTATGTTCTAATAAAACCCACTTGTTTAAGTATTATTTGTGGCTGCCTTCCTGATACCAAAGCAGAGTTGACTAACCGAGACAGACTGAAAAGCCTAAAATATTTACTCTCTGTCCCTTACAGAAACAGACTGCTGACCTCTGCTCTATCAGGTATCAAAGGTATCAGGGGTATTCAAAATCTGTTCTGGAAACCTTGGGTGGCCAAATATATTTTTATATTATAAGATGCTATTTACTGGGCTGGGGTTGTGGTTCAGTGGTAGAGCACTTGCCTGGCATGTGTGAGGCACTGGGTTCAATTCTCGGCCCCACATATAAATAAGTAAAGGTCCATCAACAACTAAAAAACAAAATTTAAAAAGGATGCTATTTACCATTTTTTACTCTTATTCTGTCATGGTGTAGTGGAATTTTCCAGAAGCTATACAATGTGATATTGCAACAGATGGAATGGAGAGACATATTAAGAGAATCCAGCTATTAAAAAAGATATTAAAGATATTTGCAAAAATATAAAACAATACCATTCTTCTCACTAAATATTTGCAACAAGGAAAATAATTATATTTCATTAAAATGTTATATATGTATATTGACATAGAATGGATTAATGGTCGTGTTATTTTAAAATAAATATTTTTAACTCTCTATTTTAATTTCTAACATGGTAACTATCAGTAGGTACAACCCACAAAAGCTCCTTGTTTGGGGTTTTACTTTCTTGAGAGTGCAAAGGAGTCCTGAGACCAAAAGTTACAAAATCTGGGCTTTAGAATAAATTGATGACAGTTAAGAAAGCTCTCTCCCAGGCCCTATATCCTGAACCATCACAGCCCTACCTTCTGGCCAGAGCAGACACAGTAGATTGGTCCTGTCCTTAGAAAGGCAGAGGTCTCTGGGCACAGGGAGCAGTTGGTGGTGAGGACAGAGGCTGGTGGCCTATGAGTCCCCACAGGGAGGTTTTCTGGAGAACAAAAGTGGGGCTGCTGCCCTGGTGGGCTGAGCCATCCTGAGCCATCTCCTCCTTGTCTCTGCTGTCCAACTGCACCCTATTCATCTTCTTCTCCGGAAACAGGTCGTTGTCTGTGGGGGACATCCTGGGAACATGCAGAGCAAAGGCAGTGGAGCTGGTAAGAGTGGGCAAGGGTGGTGAAGGGACACATGTAGGAAAGCGAGAGACCCTGGTTGGGTCCCCGCTAAAAGGGAGCCCAGCCAGGCCAGTGGGGGAGCAGGGAGGAGCATAGTGCAGAGCCGGAGTGGGATAGGGCAGCAGAAAGGCCAGGCTGAGCTGAGCTGATCCCCGAGCCAGCCCAGCCTTGTGGAAGGGCAGCTGCTGGGGACAGTCCCTGTTTAGGCACATGACTAGAAAAAGGAACACTGGAGAGAGGGGATAGGAGGGGACCTGGGAGGCAAGTGGCATCTGCAGACAAGAGAAGGGGGTGGGTCATGTGACAATGGGTCCCACCTGGCTGTGGCTTCTGCAGCAAAGCCGCTTCCAACAGGACAAGGTCAGGAGGGAGAGAAATCTCAGCAGCACACGGTAATGGTCCAAGATCCAGGGGTTGGCCCTGCGTGCCTCCAAAGGCAAAGGAGCTTGTGAGTGACCTCTGGGGAATGTTCCAAGGCAGCAAGTCCTCAAAGCAAGTCCTTGGCTGTCCCTTCAGCAGAGGTCTCAGCCCTCTCCCCACCTCTGGGACCTCTGCTGGGAAGCCTGGCTGTTACCTACAACCAAGGGCTCTGAAGGGCAGAGTCCTTCCTCCCCGACTTCAGAGTTCTTGAAAGCCCCCCAGCCCCTCCTCACTGGTGATCCCCCACCCTCGATGGTAAGCAGACCCCCCCTCAAGCTCCCACACCAGCAAGTGGCCTCAAAAAAAAAAAACAACACTATTGTTCCTGCTTTGTTGAGGGGCCCTCAGTGAGATAAGACAGAAGAAATAAAAGAATAGGTAGAAAGGAAACCTAAAAGAAAGGCAAGGACATATAATTTGAATTTAAAGTTCCATATATTTTCCAGACCTGGCACTTCCCAAAGCAGTCTCTCTATCTATATCATCCTGAGAATGACCAGACCACCATAAGCCCCCTCAAGATCACCAGACTGATGTCATCCCATGTCTTCCCATATGACCTCTCACCAGGTTTATTTTCTTTCTTTCTTTCTTTTCTTTTCTTTCTTTCTTTCTAATATTTTTTAGTTGTAGATGGATATAATACCTTTACTTTATTATTATTATTATTATTTTTTAATAATCGAATCCAGTGCCTCACATGTGCTAGGCAAGCACTGTACTACTGAGCTCTTCAACCCCAGCCCCCAGGTTTTCTTTAAAAGGGGAGTTGGTGATGGCCCACATTTTCCCTTGAATGTGTGTTCCTTGCTTTCCTAAATAAACCTGTGCCTCCATTGACATGGGCTGAAATTCCATCACATGTGTCAAAGACCCCATTTGTCCTGAATCGAGTTCCTCGCTCTCCAGAAACTCTGAGGGACCCTCTCCTGAAGCTATCTATCTCTTCTCCTAGGACATGGGGAGTAAACATCTCTCTCCTCTTGGTTGAGCCTGATTTTCATCCTTTCCCCTGCTGTCACATCCAGGCTGGCTTGGGAAGGTGAGGATGCTGCCTCCTTGTGGGACCGGAGTCCCTGACCTAGCAGGGGATCAGCTGCCTGGCAGTGAAACAGAGGACCAGAGCCAGCTCCAAGGTTAGGAGTACCCTCCAGATGATACTATGACCAGCCAGTTAGGTTATCAGTGGGGACAGAAGCAGTAACTCAAAACCAGCCTCATTAAATACACTGACAAGTTATGAAGGGACGGAGACAACTTTTTTTTTTAACTTAAAAAAACTACACACAAAAAAAGTGATCCAGGAATCAAAATAGAAACAGTTAAGGATGATAGGAGATGAAAAAAACAAGTTGCATAAATCAAGCTGGCCTAAATAACTTGACAGTTGTATTGAAGCTTTGGTGGTTCAAAACCTCTGGGTTGGGTCCAAGTTGGATGAAAGTAAATTCCATATCCACATCCCAGAAACCACAGCTAACTTCATGGTGACTGGCTGAGCCCCTGGAACTCTTGAGATCCTTTTGAAAATACAGGTACCCTCTTCTCATACACCCTTTGAAATGGGGTGTTGTGAGGGAGCCACCAAAATGACACAACAGGTGAGTATAAAACCATTAAAATCTTAATACACCCTGAGAAGTACTGCCAGAAGTTGAAACAAAACTCATTCATAACACTGAAGTGCAGAGATAGATGCTCCTCGACTTATGATGGGATTACATCCAGACTAAATTCATCAGAAGGTGAAAATCTCATAAACTGAAAATATATTGAATACACCCAGTCTACCAGATATCACACATAGAGTAGCAGTTGTTCCCCTTGGAAATTGTATGGTTGACTGGGAGATGTGACAAACTGTGGAACCTCATACCACTAGCCAAAGAAAAGATCAAAATTCAAATATGGTTTCTACTGAATTTGTATTTCTTTCATACCACTGCTAAATGGAATCATCATAAGTCAGGCACCATCTGTAATCAAAAAGGCATATATCAACAAAATGTATTAAAAGGGCTGGGGTGTAGCTCAGGGGTACATTGCTTGCCTTGCATGTGCGAGGCCCTGGGTTCACTCCCCAACACAGAAAAAAAAATCCTTTAGAATATATTAACCCCCCAACATACACTCAGAGCAATAAGAGATCTAAAATCAAACTGTAAATGGGCTAGAAATGTAACCAAGCATCCTTCTAAAAAGAACTCCAAATGGCAAAAGATGCTCAACTTCATTAGTAGTTAGAAAAATGCAAATTGAAATCACCAGATTCCACAAAACACCCACCAGAACATTTAATGTATGTATCTATTAAATCCAGTAAGTTCACTCCAAAGTATGAAACCCCCCAAAATGAGTGCACAATTCATCAAAAATATATACAAGAATGCTCATAATAGCATTGATTATAATAGCCCAAACTAGAGTCCTGTGTTAGCTTCCCATGGCTGCTGGGGCTGGGATTCTGCTAACCACTTTCTGCTTTGCTACCGGACACCTGGCTAAGTTCCGCCAACAGAGGGCGCTAGAGGAAGCCTTCAGACAAGAGGAGGAGAAGGAGGGACTGCTTGCCAGAGCTTCCAGAGCCTGAAGTGTCAGGGAGGTGACAGCTCTTCGTTCCTGCAGTTGCACTTCCAGCTTTTTTTCATGCTCAGAACCAGTGTTTATTGTGCCCCTTACAGATGCCGGCAACAGCTGTTACCGCACTCTTTCCTCTGAAGTCTGGGTTCCACCTCTGCAGGGCCCCTCCTCCAAAGTTTTAGGTTCCAGTAACTGTCACCTCATCCCCTTACTAACTCTACTTGCACTTGCTTCCTTCAGCTGCCACCTCTGTTTCCTTGGCATTTTCCTTTTGCCTTTTCAGTTCTTATAATAAACTACCTCGCCTTATTTTTTCAGGGCCCCGGTTTGGGGTGCCCTTTTAACCCATGGCCGGACATCTGGCTTCAGACTTTGCCTTCTCGCCCCCTCCGGGCGGTGGGGGTGATGGGCCAGGAGGGCCAGAGCCGGGCTGGATTGGCCATCGGACCTAGCTAAGCTTCCCAGGCCCTCCCGGTGGTCCAGGAATCGGGCCAGGAGTTGGGCCAGGTTCGGAGGTGTGGGGGATTCCCTCATACCCTCCGCCTCACGAGTTCTGTGGAGGGATGGCATACTGTGGACCTCAGGTTGGAAAGGGCCTGATTCCCCACGGTGGCCTGGAGACCACCGTGAGGTTGAGGTGGGAGCTGGGATGGAGAGCAACTCTGAGGGGGCCTCCCCCGAGCCCTGCATTGCTCACCCTGCTGTTGTGAAAGTGGAGAAGGAGAAGGTGGATCAGAACCCTGAGGAGTCCCAAGATATCCAAGCTTTGCAGAAAGAACTTGAGGAATTTGCCAAGCTGCTGAAGCAGAAGAGGATCAACCTGGGATATACTCAGGCCGATGTGGGGCTTACCCTGGGGGTTCTCTTTAGGAAGGTGTTCAGCCAAACGACCATCTGCCGCTTTGAGGCTCTGCAGCCCAGTTTCCAGAACATGTGCAAGCTGCGGCCCGTGCTGCAGAAGTGGGTGGAGGAAGCAGACAAGAATGAGAACCTTCAGGAGAAATGCAAAGCGGAGACCCTACTGCAAGCCCGGAAGAGAAAGCGAACAAGTTTCGAGAACCGAGTCAGAGGCAACCTGGAGAAAATGTTCCTGCAGTGCCCCAAACCCACCCTGCAGCAGATC